CCTGCGAAAGTCATCAGGGAGCTCGCCCAGCGTCACCCCGCCGCCCAGCTGCCCGCGCGCGCGGATCAGATGCTGCTGCCCTGCACATTGCTTTTTATGGTAACCTTCGCCCGCCGCTCCCTATTATATTTAAATGCCACGGCAGCTTACGGGTCCCGGCCGCGCCGAGCTCCGAGAGTGGACTCCCCATCTCCCCTGGTCGCTGCTAAAATACCTCCTCCCTCTAAATCGGGTCCCAAAAATACGCCCTGAGAGGATGAGGGGGAAATAGGGATGAGCAGTACGGATTGGAGGGAGGAAGGGATGGGGTACCCGGGTTGGGAGGTCTCCTCCGTATATAAAAGCACAGAGGTTCTTTGCCAACGGCGCACACTCCATGTCAGCAGCTCGCGGTTGCAGCTTCTGCAGAAATTTCTCCCAATTATTAACGAGCTGGCAAGGGAAAGCAAGGATCCCATCAGGCCGGCGGCTCTCGGCTTTCTTTTTTGTGTTATATCCCTTTGGATACTCATCCCATGTATATCCCCGTACGGGGTGGGTTTGGAAACGGCACACAACCTCTCACCTCTCCGCATCGCACCCCAAAAGCGAGGCAGGAGGATGCTGCAGGATGCTAAGGACTACGGGGGCGAGCTGAGCTGCTCCTCCTCGACACGCTGCTCCTCCTCGACACGCTGCTCCTCCTCCACCTGCCTCCGGGCCTGGGAAAACGTCGGAGGAGATGTCCCGGGGCTGGGAAATCCTCCTTTCCCCGCTCCGCAGGGAAGCAGCGCGCCAAACGCTGAGCCGTGGCCGTCCCCTCCGGCGGCGCCAAACCACCAGCGTGGCCGGGATGCGGCCACCACTGCCCGCGCATCCCTCCGCTCTTGGAAGATGCGTATCAAGAAGATGCCTCAAAAGCGCTTATGCCTCCCGGCGGTACCCACCGCTGGCTCGGAAACGGCGTTTTTCCGCCGGCCCAGCTTTGGAGCCCTTTCTCTCGCACACTCTCCCCGTGCTCGGCGCTTCCCTGGTGCTCGTACATTAAAAGAGCCGCGAGACACCAGAGAATTCGCACGCAGCCATTTACATCTTACAAACTCGCCACCGCAGGGGAAGAGCGAACCCTTTAGCTCAGAAACGCAGCAACTGAGAACGCAGAGGACGACCAGCGACACAGTTTCCATTCACTTTGAAGTTAAATCTGGTTTTAAACAGGAAAAAGGCTTGAGTTTTTACTTCTCCCCCCCCCCAGCCTTTTTTTTTTTTTTTCCTAATATCAACTCGGTGCGATTTTGCAGCCCGTAATGGAAGGACACTGTACTCCGGCAGCGCTTTTAAAAAAAATAGCGAGAGAGCGCTGGATCTGAAGAGGCTGTTACCGTGTAGGCACAGCAACTCCTGTCTCACAAGGACTTTTAATGCATAGATTATATGCTCCATTTCAGAGAAGGGGTGGAGGGTGTAGTTCAACTCCACAAGCCGCCGTTAATAAAACCCACCGTGCCAGCTCCCGGGCTCCAACCCACCTTCCCGCAGCCCCGCTTCCAGCTGGAAACATCAGCGTTAAAGTGATGGGATGCTGTGGGATGTGTTGGGGGAAGGGGGGGACGGGACACCTCGACCCACCCCCATGAGATGCTCGAGGGGGTCTGAAGGGCTGCGAGCGGCAAAGTTGAAACCCGCTCAAGTTTTTCCTGAGCAGCCGCAGCGTGGGGATTTTTAAGTCGTTTGCAAACCCCACGGGGCGGCTGAGGTTGTCTCGAGGCGGTGGGCCTTCACCTCCGGCACCAGCAGGACGGACTGGGACAGCCGCGGTTACTCCAGACACCGCCAGAGTGCCAATCGAGCTCTCCCCGTGAATCCCCCCGGTTTAATTTTCACGCAGGATTAGCTCAGCTCAAGCAGGGGAGGATGCTCCTTCCTTGGCCTGATCTGGATTGAGGCGAAGCTGCCTCCGGCTCCTGCAGGAATTACTCCCTGTGAATTCCCTATCGCCCCAGCAGCTCTGAAATTGCCCCCCCCCGAGTTCAGAGAGAAGCGGGTTTCTTGCCCGTGGCCGAGTCCTGCCCCATTTTTTTCTCCCCGTGTGTACAGAAATAGGACCTGAAGCCGAGTGCCAGGGGTGGTAAACACCCGCGAAGGGTGATAGGGAGATACGGGCTCCGCCACGGCCAAGTTATTCCGATGACTTAATAAATTGCTGCATTTCACGTGTCAGCCCAGCGCCTTCGCAAATATCTCATGCATCTTATTTACAAACGCTCCTCGGGGGGAAAGCCTGGCGGAAGGGCTGTCTACAAACCCTCCAAAAGCTCCCGCCGTCCACACACACATCCTTCAGTCTCCCCCAGCCCCCCGAGAACAGCCCTCCGAGGATCCCAAAGCTTTTCTGAAGCTCAGCACCGCGCCCCCTCCCGCCAGCCGCGCTGCCACCAGACGAGGGACATCCTCAGCGCCACGGGTGGCGAGCGACATCCCAAACAGCATCCGCCACTCCGGAACCCAAATCCGAACAACCCAACTCCGGATTTTTAGCATTTTAGCGGGACCAGGGAAACCTCACAAGCAAATCCGGGTCGTTTCACCCATCCATTCCCCACGCGCGCGCAGCAAGGGCAAGGATTCCTCCCGCTGCAAAGCGCTGCGAGCAGCGCGGATGCAAAGCCCCTATAGCAGATGTGGGTATTTATTGATAAGCCCGGCACCATCCTCCTCCGTACGCTCCACCCAGCCCCTGCTTTTCTCGGGGATGAGAGGGTCTGACAGCCGGAACCGCTCACAAATCCCCAGGACCGCCCTCTCTTACTCGATCCTTTCTTTTTTTTTTTTTTTTTTAATAAAAAGCAAAGAAAAACGAAGCCGACTTAAAAGGAAATTCGGCGGGTACGGCGCTAAAAAGCACAGAGCAGGAGTGAAGGTAAAACAGCAGCACAGGGCATTAGAGCCCCCGCCACGAAAGCAGCTTGCAGAATAAGCCGCCGTTGTTCCCTGTCACTTTTTAGGCAAGGCTGCTGAGAGGGGATTACAGCACAGGCGGCTTAAGAGGAGCAGGTGAGGGGAGCTACGCAGGGATAACTAAAAGAAAATACAAATTACTGTCTCCCTGCTGCTGGGGGCGGGGGGGGAGAAGCGGGGGAACGTACCGGTGAACTCCTCTTAGGATGACAGTTTAGCCTCGGAAAAAAAAAAAAATATATATATATATAAATCACCCGATTCTCTGAATTATAAATCATGTTGCCAGCTCGTCTCCACGCCAGCC